GCCCGTGTATCCTTACGTGTCCATTGTTCTTGGAATGCTGCTCACAGCTCCAGTGAGAGTTGCATCTGCAGAAAAAAGCTTATCCAAAATGATACAATTTATAACTTATCAAGCATGTCACAAGAACGCCCGACAGGACAAGCCATACTCTATCGAGAGGGAGATCGGCAGGTCATTGAATCACAAGAAAGTGATCGATGAGCTGGTGGCAAAGGTTCCAAGAATACAAACGCTAAACCTTTGGACAACCTACACAAAAGACAGGACAAGCCATACTCTATCGAGAGGGAGATCGGCAGGTCATTGAATCACAAGAAAGTGATCGATGAGCTGGTGACAAAGGTTCCAAGAATACGAACGCTAAACCTTTGGACAACCTACAGAAACTCCTCTCCTTCCTTGTTTAATAAAAATGTAGTGATTTTCATTTTTTTCCCTAATGAAACTTCGATAATTGAAAATGAAGTGAGGGGCAAATCTTCGGAACCCAGAGGTGGCCCAATGTCTTTGCCGCAGGGTGCCCCGCATTTTCCCGCGCCGGGTCTACTGCTGACTCAAGTTTATATCGCTGCTTTTCATTCTATTTTCATCAGCAGCGTATTGTAGGGAGAACCAGGGGAGAGGGGGCACGTGGCCCCCCACCACCCCACCTTCTCAAGAATAGAAGTTAAAAAAGGGAAAAGACTCCAGAAATGCATGATATCGCAGAGTCCACACACTTTTTCACCCATGCTACGCTTATGATTTTCATCGACGAGGTCTCTGCTCCTCGAACTCAAGCAATAAGCTAACGAAAGACTAGGTTTTTCATTCAAAATGCTAAAAAAAAAGTAGTAATTTTCTTCTCATTTCCTTCAAATTACAGAATATATACTGATCGGAAATAACTGCCATGAATAAAAACTCATCTGTTATTTATTTCGCTTTTTGTTAATATCCCACGTCAGCCTATTGGAAGTGGAAACGGTGAACCACAACGAATAGAAACGATGAATGAATTCATCGTTTCTATTCATTTTCTATTCGACATTCTAGATTCATATAACTAAGGCTGTACCGAAGGCCACCTTAGCCTGGTGGGCCGATGACCTATTTACATCTCATAGCCATCGGCACCGCCGATTGTCGTCTGAAAGTTGAGGAGTAACAGGAAATTGCATTATAATTCAATCAAAGGAATATCCATCCCACAGGAAGGAACAGCTTGTGATTTTGGAGCGCTTGCGCACAGACAGCAATGAACGCATTCACATTAGAAGACTCTAACAACCTGAACGCTGTTAGGACCGCAGAAGAAGTTCATTGCAGCTTGCTATATGGCTAGCAGAAGGGCAGCATGTGTCGTGTGCTTTCACGCCCGATACAATTTAAAATACACAAGCACATGCTGCTTCTGGTCCGCGGAATAGCTGGCAGAGCTTATAAGTAGGTTTCTGTGTCCGAAAAAATTGCCTG